AAGAGAAAAATGACTGATGTGAGTTCATTATACTCCAAACTTCAGAAAACTATGAGAAAATATTAATAAGATCAAAGAAAGGAAAAAAAATCCCATAAGAATTTTATTATAATATGATGTATACTCTAGCATCAGTATATAATTGTTTTATAAGCCAGAATAAATCTCTCTACTCATAGGTAGAAATAACCTGTAAGTAGGAAGTTATCTGGGAGATCTGGCCAGAAGGAACCATTCCTTTAAATACAGTTTTTTCTTGGTAAAACAAGAACATTACTAAACGCAAATTGAAGAAAAGATGAGAAAAATCACTCAAAATACCAACTCCTGAATATAACTCTAAGCACTATGTAAACTTTCTTCCAGCCTAATTCTTTCCATTCTAAAGTTATAATTTATTTAAATGCTGAATAACAATATTTATTATATCCTTTTACATACTATCACAAACCTATTAAAAATATCACATCAAATGTTTAAAATATTCTGTGAACTTGTTTCAAGTTAGTGGTCCTCAACCTGGCTATATGTTACAATTTTAGGGAAATTTTTAAAAATGCAAATTTCAGGGCCAACTTTACACTTATTAAGTAAAAATATCTGGGTGGGGTTGAGGTGTCAGTGTTTTCCTAAATCATTCCAAATGATTCAAATGTGCAACCAAATTTGAGAGTCACTGATATCAGTAGGGATCATTTAAACTGTCCTTTAATTACAATTAAAATAGCACTGATATGAATATCTTAATGCATATTATATTCTTTTCTTATAATCAAGAATACTTCATGTTAGGTTTGTAGAGTGGCATTATTAATTTATGAGATATGGGTTATTCAATGACCTTTGTGAATAATGCCAACTGACTTTTCAATGTGTTGTTTTGGTTTACATTCTCACCAGCAGTATATAAGCAAGACGCATCACTTGGAGTCAAGAATGAAATGCAAAGACTGATTAATTTATTAGGGAACCATAAAACAATTCTCAAGGGTTGCTTTAACTCTGATTTTTAGGATTATTAGTAAGACTGAATGCTTATCCACATATTTGTTTATTCCTTAGTTTTATGCATTGGAGCTCCTCTGCTGTTCATGTCCTTTGACCATGATGCTAGAGGGTTATTGTTTTTTCTTGTTGTTTTAATAATCTCTTTATATAATACCTCTAGCATATTAACTAAAAATATTTTCTCCATGGTTTGATTGTGACTTAATGTTTTGTTTTTCATATGCAGACATATAAAATGTTATATAGCCAATTATCTCCATCTTTTCCTTTGTGGCTTATTTTACAGCTTCTAACTGTGAAAAGTTATTTCCCTGCCAGAGGTGGATTTAAATGTTACATTTAAATTTTTTCTAATTTTTTTCTAATGGTATGACTTTTCATATTTACATTTCGATTGCGTCTCTCTTTCTCAACATAAAACAGATAGTACATGTTAAAGAAAAAATTTTCAACGTGTAAAAAAATTACATGTTGAAGAAAAGCATATTACATGTTGAAGAAAAAAATTATCATTTGTAATTGTTTTCTATGTTTCAGGAAAAAAGCAGCACAGTTCCCTTGTTCATTACCTAATTTTTGATTCATCCTCCTACCCCTTTTTCTCCAGAAAATTCTAGTACTACTCATCTGAAATTCCTTGATCAGCAGAATGTCAAAAGAATTCAGGTCAGCATTTTTTCTGGCTATGGGAAAAATTTTACCTTTAAATGTTTGATAAAGGAAATGTCTAAAAATAACTAACCTAACCACTGGTGTTAAGACTGGCATTCATAACACAAGACAAGTGCCAATTTAATTTAGCTTCTTTCTCCTGTCCCTTCCTCCTCTTTCTTTATCCACCTATATTCTCAAGGTGCTTTGTCCACTGGTGGTTTCCATTTTGATTAGAAGTGTTACCACAGAAATATATTTTTTAAAACATAGCTTTCTAGAAAAAAAAGCCATAGGTTTCTATAATAAACTGTAAGTTTTGTGAAATTCAAACATCATAATTATTTAAGGTGGTATGAAATATATATATGTAAAATACAGATAGAATTATGAAGTAAAAACAAACTTTACAAAAGGATCAATTTCAAAGTAAGTCCTCTCATGGAAACAAGAGGCTTTGGAAAGGATGTATAAATAGAAAGCAGTGAATTTAAGCACCCTTCCCTTCCCCAAACTTAGTATGCAACACTTAAAAATACATCTTAAGAATACAGTAGTGGGCCTAAAAGAAATTCAATACACCCAGTTCTTGTTTTAATTTCACCCTCAGGGAAATATGATTCATGAGAAACATAAGTTCAGAGCAGGGGGTCACAGAAATGCTTACACTTGCTACAAGCCAATATTAATACTCTTCTTCCATACATTAAAACCAGTAAAATAAAGGTCAAGATGACTAGGATCAAGGTAAATGTTTAAAGAGAATAAATAACAATGTTGCAAGCTAATGGTTTTTACAATTTATAAAATTATACATACATATTAATAAATTCCACAAGCAATGCTACTGATCAGTTATATAAATATTACCTTTGTTTTACAGAAATACCTTCCTTAGGAAAAAATGTGCATTTTGATTACCCATGAGGAGAAATGTATCTATAAACAAAATAAGATTTCCTGTGCATTATTTGACAGCAATATCAATGCTCCAACCAGACACAGAGACTCTCCAGAGAACAATTCCAATAACGAAAAAGGAGAATATGTAAATGTAATCGGGGTAGAAAAGAGAATTGGAGAGCCAAGGTAATAGTTCAAGAAAAAATTATCTTAAACCTGGGCCCCTATTTAATCAACTAACGAAATGGCAACTGATTAAACCATTGCTAAAATTATCGAGAACTACCTATGTTTATGTAACAAAAGGAGAAATAGTCTTCTGTTTCCTTTCATTTTTCAATCTTCCTAAAAACACAACTTGGGATATCACAGCTTCTGGCCATTTGGCAAGCATCTTATTTAAGTAAGCACAACTCCAACCAACTCATTTAACTTGAAATTAATGTTCTTGGTCTTTTATATTGCCACTTAAAGCTTTCAGGAAATAGTTCCTGGATACACCTGCCACCTAATTTCATGAAATCAATATTTCACTAAAGCTAAGTCAGGAAATCTTAAGGGCTGAATTCAATTATAAATGTTACTTCAGGAGTTGATAGTAGATAAAATGTAGCATTGACACTGAAAATCATTACAGTTAAAGGGCTTTGTTTTTTGGGGGTGTGGGGGGATTGTTTTCTAATATACCAGTAACAATCAGTAAAGACAACATGATGTTAGGATAACAGTAACAGCTTTAACCTTTCTAGTGTCAACGTCCGTTTATAAGCACAGAAACAACATTCTCTCTGACTATACCTGAAATAAATCTATTGTAATGATGAGAGACAGCGATCATCAACATAAAATGAAAACTACTAGAATGAGTTCAAACTTCATCCAAAGATGAAAACAACTATTTACTGAAATCCAGACAAGTTACTCTTTAAGTAGAACACAATAATTCACCATATCTCCGTCATATGTACCATATTATACTTAAAAGCAGTGGTAAGCCAAAGTTCCACATAGAAAAATTTTTGCAGACACATTAAAAACAAAAAATCTTTTATACACAGCAAACACCTGACATTTGTCTTCAAATGCTGTCTTTCCTCAGATAATTACTAACCACCTGATTGCCTTCCATGCACAGATCCTTAGAGTAAGTTTCTAGGATCTGACGTGGGATATGTTTACTTCATTTTTCAGCATAGACAGTGAAGAAATGTCAGAACAAAGATAGAAAATCCAAAATTCTAAACTTGTTCATTTGATAATCTTAAAATTGTTCCTTTTATCACTTGGCTTTTCAAACTAAGTGTGAGGAAAACTCTGGAAATTTTCAAAATAAACATTATCTTAATACATTCCTACGTCTCACATTTCCTCCTTGGTTTGTTCATGTCTCCTAACCATCATTTTCTTCTTCTTTTCAAAATCTTTTCTCTAGGGACCTCACTTCAAGTCTAACGCTTGCCTGTGGCCCACAGTGACGGAAACACTGAGCTTTGGAATGGGCGAGACTCAGGCTCAGATAACAGATCTTTCCACTTATCACTGTGTGAAGTTAGGCAAGATACCTAACTTCTCTCCGCACCAATTTCCTCATCTGTAAAATGAAGAAACAGCACCCACTTCTCAATGTTACCATGAGGAATAAATGAGCTAAAAAAAATAGAAACTGCTTGGCTCAGTGCCTGACACTGATCAGTTACTACATAAATGTTAGTTTCCTGCCTTTTTGCCAAAATGACATTGAACAGACAGTTCTAATGATATTTACGGATACATACATCTGGGTTTTCTTTTCAGTTCTTTACCTGTATTCTACTCTTAGACCTAATAAACTTCTTCCATGTTTAACACTCAGCAAGCTTTTCATTACTCTAAAGGAAAATACTGAAATCATATTATATAAATAAATAACCAAGAAGAAGCACCACATTTCTAAGCAACATGTTCAAAATTGGAGAAACTCTAGTATATTTCTTGTAATAATTTAAAATGCATGAGCAGTTTAAGGCAAAGTAGACGCAGTATTTATGCTGCAAATTCCTTAAACTGCAACCCAATTTGATTCTTAGTAAAGCAGAATCAGAATAATGAAGTGCTTTCAGTGAAGATAAAAGTCACTGGGAAAAATCAGCCTCAAGAATATTTATTAATGTCATCATGCTACTTCGTTTAGAAGGGTCCCAAGCAAAAGAGTGAACAAGGAGACTACAACTTCAGCAAGAAAGATCATGGAGATGCAGTCAATGTTCACAGGGAAAAAGGCTCTGGATATATACAAGAAAGGAAAATAAAACACTTCTATCTAGTATTACATAGGATTTTCACGTTTAGATAAATTTGTGGTTATAATATGGCCACAGTTTACACAAACTGTAATTCAGACAGAGAAATTAGAAAGCACACCAGAGCCTCTCGAATTTTCACTTTCCAACAATTCACACTTTCTCACTTTCCATTCTAGTCTGCACTGTCACACTACAAAACAGAAATAACATATGTGAGCGACACCAATCTGGGAATCACTCTCATAACCTTCTACCCAGTCATTCAAATCGCACTGCCTGGCCTTCAGGTGTCCATTTGTCCTCTCATGCCCACTAAATGACAGGGGAATGAGTGACTCTTATGGGGTTCCATACGGGAAGACCCTCAATGTCCATTTTCACCCAACGTCACTAGCTGGTACCTACCCGGAAGGAATGAACGGAACCACTCCAATGCAATCCCAGCCACTCCTGCTAGTTCAAGCATTCGGTTCAGCATCACCTCATGACCAACACGAAAGCAGCTGAGGCTCTAATATAATCATCATGGAAAGTTGTCCCAAATCCTTCATTGGAGGAAGATCCTTCATACACACCAACGCTGTCTCCAAGCCATGCCGGGGTCTGAAACCAGACTGGAAAATATTATATATGTGTATATATAGTAAAACTCCCACAAACCACTTTCTATGACTCTTCTACTTTGTCATATTTATTTACAGCTGCTTAACCAATCCTATATATATTGCCTTCTCAAGATGAAAATATGAACATTTAAGGAAAGATCCTTTCCATAGCAGAAGGTAAACTTAAAGCATATGAAGACCTGGTGCTGCCTGTTAAGGTAGTTGAGGTGATCCCAAATGGAAAATAGTTTGTCCTGAAGGGAAGAAAGAAAACACAATATTGGTTTCCAAGGCTAATCTAAACAGGGTGGACAGAATTCAGTATTCAAAAGAGAGTGAGAAAAAAAAAAAAAAAAAAAGCCTTGACTCAGCAGATAGAATAGCAATGCCAGATTAACCCTTGAAGGTCTGTTTGATACTCCTCCTGAATCCCACCACTTTCATAATCCTAACTACCATCACCTTGACAGCATTATCCGACTCCCTCTGGATCAAAGAGCGCTAGACTGATTGCACTTGCTTATGATGGAGCAGGGCCAGGAACCTTAGAAAGAACAACAACTTGAAATGGTAAGAATTTGTTTTTTTTTTTAAATGATCAATGGAGCTCCAACAGCTATCATACATAAAAAGCAAAAAGAATTCAACCCAACTAAAAGAATTTTAGTTTTCCTTCTCCTTAATGAATAGGCTTTTAAGAAACAAAGTAATAGATATTACATAGAGCATTTAAAGTTTAACCAGATAATTCACTGTTTTCCCCCCCCTCGGGTCCTTTATTATAAGATTGAGGACTATTTCCTTTTTGCTTGCCCCTTTCACCTAAACTAATATAATAGTGACAACTGAAACTTTTAGTCCTACTGCCAAATTTTACCAACTTCCTCTAGTTCCAGAATCATCTAAAACAAAATTAAGTGGGGTAAATCACTGCAGTATTATTTTCTATGTACTTACCCTAAATTATTTTTGAGTCAAACTGCTATCTATAAAAATGCTCATCACATATAATTGCATTTAAGGTTAATAGAATTCTGTCTTTCTTATCTCCATTTAACTTGCTCTACTAGCCAGACTCATTCCATCCTTGTCAGTTATTTTCTATCTATATTAAAACAAAGAAAACTTGGAAATACCCATTTGGTGTACTGTCTCCCCTACCTACTTGGTATATATTTTGGTTCCTATGTCAATTATTCTGCTGATGTCAAATACCTAGAAATCTTTTAGATAGATTTGGACCTGAGATAGCAAACATAATACTCAAATTATGTTTTTCTGGACATCTTTACTAACTTTACTGTACATCATAAAGAATAATAAGTCTCTCACTAAGGATAATGCAAAGAATGGACTCACCTAGGCATAAAACTCAGAAAACACTATTTTGAAAGAGAGAGTTCACTTGGTGGCTTAGTAATATGATGTAGTTTTCTTCCTAAAATTTTAAATTCTCATGTTTGACATACTGACTTCTTGTTGCATAACTTGAAGTTCCAACCACAGTCAAGTATAAGAATCTTCTCAAACCATTCGTTATACAAATACTGGCTGTCTAAGTAATATATGTGCAGTCAAATAAATATTTGCTGTGATGGCCACTATGATCTAGGAATCATACAGGATGTGCAAATGAGTAAGGTATACCACCAGCTATCTTGGAATTCATAGTTTAGTTGAGAGAGTTATTAAAAAAAAGTGATAGTGATACACTAGAAATTCCCCCAAGGAATACAAAAGAAGAAACCATATTTCTTTGGGGAGCACTAACAATCTGTATCTTAAGTGATAAATGAGTATTAAGGTGGCAGTGATCCTAATAACCAACAGAGGCTAAAGCATTAGTGTATGTATGTGCAATTTACAGGAATATCAGAAACCAGATTACTATTCATAATTAAAATATATTATATGCTGTATTTAGTTTAGTAGGCGGCAAGTTATTGCAGTATAATGGAAAAATCCTAGCACACAATGAATGTTCAATAAATATTAAACTGAGGATCTCAGACAGAAGCACACAAATCATGACACAGATTTTCCAAAGAATTATTTCCTACATACATACGCACCTCCTAAGAGACAGCAAATTTGTTTTGTTCCCTAAAGTCTCTTCTCCAAATTTCCATCTTAATGTATGTGAAGCTTCATAATCACATTTCAAACAAAATTTGGATGACGGTGCAGACACAGGACTTTAAGACACATCCCTTTTCCCCCAAAACACACCCATCAGATAATGGGCAGAGGTACTGTCAGGATACTACTGTTAACACTTATGAGTACGGAGGGTGGGAAAGTAAAGGAAATTCTACATTGATATACATTCAGGAGACTGAAGTGACCTAAGCAGCTAAAGAAATACATCACTGCCCCCCACCAAAATACAACAACAACAACAACAACAACAAACCTGAGCACTAATATGTTAAATGAATTAGGATTTATTGTAAATGAACTGTCATTATACCAAACATGGCAAATTAGGAAATATCAATAGATATAATTTGCTAAATAAAGTTTTTTTGTTACAGTAAAAAAAATGCCCTCTGAGTTACAAATAAGATCCAAATAAAGCATCTCAGTTAATAAAGGATAATTTACTTACAGGTAGAGTGTACATCAGGAAAATCCCAATCCCTGGTATTGGAGTCCCAACATTAGTTTTTTTTTTAAATTTTATTTTTGAGACAAGGCCTCACTCTGTCACCTAGGCTGGAGTGCAGTGGCACAATCACAGCTCACTGCAGCCTCCATCTCCTGGGCTCAGGCCATCCTCTCACCTTAGTCTCCCGAGTAGCTAGAACCACAGGTATGCACATCACACGTGGTTGATTTCTTTTTATTTTGTACACAAGGGGTCTTGCTATATTTCCAAGGATAGTCTTAAACTCCTGGCCTCAAGTGATCCTCCTACCATGGCCTCCTAATGTGCTGAGACTACAGGCATGAGCCAGCACACCTGGCCCCAACATTAGTCATTAATGTATATTAAAAACAACTCAGGCTCTGCTTCATTAAGTAACAGTTTTATATTTTGTCATGGAATCTGAATAAAGAACACTAACTAGACTCCCTTTTCTAACTACTGATGAAATTTTAGATAAAAAATTAATATTATATATTTTAATACGTCTTATGGAAACATGAAGCATTTGGTACCAGTAGGCCAAAATACTACTATAAAATATCTTAGAATATAAATTGGATTTCATTCTATCTTGATTAGCTTTCTCCAAATTTCTAACAATGGCAACAAACAGTGACATCTCATAAACTAAATATCTTACAATTGACAGAACACTTTTTGAAGTTTTTGCAAATTATTCTGTTTTTATAATAGCAGTTTGATGCAAGAATTATGATTTCCCGTTTTACTGGAAAGACAAGAGAAATAGTCTAGGTGACTTATCCAAGATAACACATTACGTTCAAAGCAGAAACAGAGATAGAATTCAAATTTCCATTCATTCAATCTGAAAATATCACAAGTCTAGTATTAACAAGGGCACCAGGGGGAAGAGAAGGATCAATGAGACGTGAACTCTACCAATTAAGGAAACTGCAGTCCTATTACAAGAAAACTTGAGACAGTTTATTAGATACTGCAACAGAGGACCACACATATTATGTTAAAATGAAATTACAAGGATAAAGTAATGAAGCTAAAGGAGTGAAAGAATTCTTCACAAGGAGGTGGATTTGAATTAGGCCTTGAAGTTGGGGGTGGAGAGCAAAAATTGATGAAGGCCATTATAGGCTCAGCATTGTCACAGAGACCTAAAAATATAAGGAGTGTCTGTGTAAACTATATAGGTAATTTTTTTCAAATGAAAAAGTGATAACATATCTTTAATAGAAATCAAGCCCACACATGGTATTTAATGAAAAAACAGATATGGCAGAGGCTGGTAGTTGTTCTCCAAGAAGGACCCTTCCCCACAGTTAAGCTCCTCCACTTTTTTATCTTGAAACATGCCTCCTCAAATAAAGATTTATTCTCTAGCCTCCCTTTCAGCTCAGTGCAAGTGTATGTCTGACCAATGGGACATGAGGAGAACTGTTTATTCAACTTTCAGAACATGTCTTTAAAGGGACTATGCATGCCCTTTCTTCCAGCTGCAAGCTATCTCAGACCACTGAGATAAGAACAAAATCCTAGAGACAGCAAAGCAACAAGATAGAAGGACCTAGTTTCCCTGATATCCTGGGGTAACACAGCTATCTCATAACTCATAGGACTACCCACCTTCAGACTCCAACATGCAAAGTGAACTTCTATTTGATTATGTCACTTAAATTTTGGGACTCCATGATACCAGTGCAAACTCACACATCAGCTTATAGAATAGACTGTGCTATAAAGTGAATAGCTAATTTATTGGATCTCAATTCTCCAAACCTAAGAAAAACAATCTGAAAATATTTAAATTAACTGCAAAGGGTTTAATAAAATCAGCAGCATACACTTGTAACAGGCTATCAAATGCGTGTTCTAATTTTAGTCTACATAGCAAGCCTAGACAATAGGAAGGTCAGGGATCAATATCACCATTTTACATGTGCTGAATAAGACAACACATAGTGAATTAATTACACAAAGTATTTGATAACTATGAATTATATTGGATTTAGCCGCTTTTAATCAGTAAAATAATCATTACATATATTATATACTGCATTTGATACACTAAAGATCCATTCATGAAGAAAATTTAAATGTTACTAATGCCAGAAAAAATAATCAGTAAACGAAAACTTGATTTTCACTGTCACTTCACATTACTTCACAATGTTTTCATTTACTGATTGGACTTTTCAGACCACTATGTTTTACTGTGATTATATTTAAATATTTAATTGCTATCCATTTTATTATTTACAGAGAACAGAAGAGAAATTCAATCAGAAAACATAAAATATAATGTAAGTAAAGAAACAGAGTAGGTTGTAAGTCCATGGGGAAAATCTGAAAAAAGAGTAGCTGTTGGACAAACCCTCTTAATCAA